TAAAGAAACTCCCTCAACCGAGTTTTTTTGGAAATCCACTAATGAAAAACAAAAATCTTGCACCCCTCTAGAGTCAATCCACTCAACCCTTTTCCAAATGGCTGAGCGGTTTTGTCTATGCTTTAAATCTTGCTCTCTATCTCTGAAGAGTTCAACCCTTTTGAAATGACTTAATCCTTTGAAAACGGTTTAGTCCTTTCAAAAGGACTCAGTCTTTTTCCAAACACCTAAGTAGATTGAAACTTTTTGAGATTTTGGATCTTCGTTGAATCTTACAAAATATAAAATATTAGTTTAAGTAAAAATTTCATCAACTCTATAAAATTATTAATTTACACAACTCTTTTAAGTTTTGTAATAATTTAGAAAATAAAATATAAATTAATTTCTTTCAAAAACTAGTTAAATAAGTGTCAAAAGAGTTAAGTTATTTAAGTAAAATTAACATTTATCAATAACCTAATCAAAAATCATCATCTGGCATGTGCAACGCAGGCTGTCGTACCCCCATCTGACAACTCTAGTTAAAATTAAACTGTAGAGTTTAAACTAGAGAAAGGTAATTTTGATCCTTCCACTTTTGAGATTTACTTAGTGCGTGTTTGTATTGGATTCCAAAGGTGGATTTTTACATTTGAGTAAAAGGAACAATAATAGCTTCCATGTAAATTTATTATTGAACGTGGAGAGAGAAAAAAAAATTACGTTTTAAAATGAAATCCAAACACACGCTTAGCAGCCCACAATAAAAGAAACTAGGATTCTAAAAGCTCATTCTCTTTCTGTCCATATTAAAGCCCATTCGAACATATAAATATTTCAAACACAACTTTTGGAACAAAACTAAAAGAAAAATAATGATTTTAAAAAGAAAGAGAGAATCAATTCCCCTTTATTATTATCATATTCAAACTATCTTGATAAGGTATTTTATTTAAATTCAAATCCAATTTCAAAATCTAATCATCAAATACCATATAAAAGTCAACTGAAACATTTGCAATATTATATCTTAGTATTATATATAATTAAATTATAAAATTAAAATACCATTATACTTTATATTATATATTTTAAGACAAATAACATAAATATAAATATAAAATCATATTAAAATTATTATACATTAAGTTATTAAAAAATATTTTTTAAAATGATACTAATTTAAATTAAAAAATAAATATATTTTTACTTCTTAAACTTTCGTTAATTTTCACTTTTATTTCTTAATTAAATTTTATTTGGTTTTACTCTCAAAATTTTTTTCTATGAACAAAAAATCTTAGATGTTATGGATCAAGTATGTTAAAAAATAAAAGTTTATAACTAAAGGTTAAATATTTAATTTGATCCCTTATAATATTTTAATGTGGAGTGATAAGGGTGGTCCAAGTGGTTTGGGGAGAGGGATATAGGATTGAGTGACTAAGAGGGTGTGGGTTCGAATCTCCCCACTAACAACTAACAAACTAACCATTAACATTTGTCGTTCAAAAATAAATAAATAAAATAAAATAAAATATTTTAATGTTTCAATTTAGTCTCACTTTAATTTTTAGTTTCAATTTGGTTCCTAATAATTTAAATTACTGCAATTTCGGATCTTCCGTCCAAATTTCTTAAACAGAGTTAACTGTTGGCCACGTGGAACATAGATGCATAGGTGGATGCTAAATTTTTATAATGTATCTAGAACTAGAACGACCTATTTTGAAACTAGAACGGCCCGTTCCAGATTCACTCGTTGTATGTTAATTTTGCATCTGGAAAGAAACGACATGGTGTTTTCTCTTGGAGTCATTGACCAATATACCCCAACAACAATAATTTTTCAGTCTTTGAATTTTTATTTTTAGTCTCTAAACCATATTTCAGTCTTTGAATTTATGTTATGTTATGAATTTTTGTTTTCAATCTTTGAATCATATTGTTGCATTTTGTTGAACGCACGTATGTGGTTGGTGTTTTAGAATGACCCGTTCTGAATCTAGAACGACCCGTTCTAAAACCAGAATGGCCCGTTCTGTTGCACTTGTTGTGTGTTAACTAATGCATCTGGAACGGGCCGTTCTAGATGCAAAATTAACACACCACAAAAAATGTAGTAGAACGGGTCGTTCTGGTTTCAGAACGGGCCGTTCTAGTTTCAGAACGGGTCGTTCTGATTCCAGATGCATTAAAGAAATTTGGCATCCACCTATGCATCTACGTGACATCTACGTGGCCAACAGTTAACTCCGTTTAAGAAATTTGGACGGAAGGTCCGACATTGCAGTAATTTAAATTATTAGGGACCAAATTGAAACCAAAAATTAAAGTGAGATTAAATTAAAACTTTAAAATATTATAAGGAACTAAATTAGGATTTTAACCTAAACTAAAAGGAAAAAACGACAAAAGTTTAAAATTTAAAACTAATAAAAAAATTATTTAAAAATTAAAAGTGAAAATTTATAAAAAAAAAATTTAAAGATTAAAAATATATTTAACACTTAAATTAAAACATCTCCAAATATGTCCCATACATGTTTTCAAAATTCATCGAATTTAATTTCAAAAACTAAGTTCATAAAAGAAAATAAACAACCACAGTTAAAAATGAATTTGCCTTAAAATGTTATAAGTAAAATTATTTTGAAGTCAATTTTTCATTGAGTACACAATATTTCAAACACAACTTTGATCGCCCAAAAAGAAAACTAAATACCTTTCATCCAATCACAATATATTTAAAGATTGTTTAAATGAACTTCTCCATAAATTTTTTTAGGAGAAGAAAAAATGAAATAAATTTTCTTGTAAACTAAAATTAATTTATATATAACTTAAACAAAATATTTTTGAAAAGTTAATATGATAAAATTTCTACATATTAATTTGCGTATGAACTAATTTTACCTCTTAAAGAAACTAATTTTATTTTTTTCTTATTTTTTCTTCTATAAGTATTTGTGAAAAAAAATGTATCGAAGCACACCCTTACTATTTGATAAACAAAGACTATTAAGACACGTTACATGATTTTATTCGAGAGGACATAGTGAGTTTCTCTTACTTTCAATTATGATGACTAGGGTGCACCTCCTTATGGTGCATAATCGACCAATGGATTCATTTGATATTATGAGGTATGACCATTTCATACATAGGGTATGTTTGTTTAGTTTCGTTGAACCAAAAGAAATACATGTTCCAAAACATTAAATTAAGAAGTAATATTTTATGTCTTTTTCGTGTGATTTTGAACACCCCTTCCACATTGTGCCTCCTCCAATGAAGCTCGCCATCACCAATAGCATGATCAAAAAATGCAGGTTTTGTTGCCCCATTCACTTTCACCATAAACCCATCACTAGACGAAGCTAGCATTGCTGTTAAACTAAAGTTCCTCAACACTAGAAGTCCATTATACTATCGTTCAATCTAGAGATGAGATTTTGTTATTAGTCGTGTCATGCATGGAGATCCCCAATTTAGAATTCTATGTTAGATTAGATTAATTTAATGACAAATGAATTACATAATTTCATTTCCCAATTTAGAATTCGTCTTTCATATATTTACCAATTTCAAGTATCTTTCTTTTAACTTTTTCTTTTTTGATTTAATATTATAGGATTTTCATTGATAAAACAATTATTATAGCTTTTACTATAATAAGATATTTTCTTAAATTAATAGGCATTATAATTATTGATAACACAATTATTATGACATTATATGTGGCACAATTTAAAAAGAGAAAGAGAAAAAAAATAATAGAGGTTAAATAATAGTTGGTGGTTAATTAGATGGTTGAAGGGTTTGGAGAGTGTAATTTGCATAGAAGTATGGTAAGATTGAACAAAAACTAAATAAAATAAAAAAGTAGAAAAGAAAGAGTAGTTTATTATTAAGGCTGCTAGAAGTAAAATAAGACACAAAAGTGTACACCAAAAATCCATCCATTTTAGTATAAATTTACTTATAATATAACTAATAATACTTTTGTCATAATATGATCAAGATGTTTTATGAAATTAATAAATGAATATTTTATTATATAATATTTTTTACAGTGACATACATATGTTTTTATGTGACAAAATTTAAAGTAAAATTGTTTTTGTCAAGAAAATCATTTTAAAATTTATGTAATTTTATAAATATTTTTTAAGTCTTTCGAATCACTACATTAACATTGTCAGAATAAATTGAGTTATTTATGAAAAATAATTTTCACCAAAAAAAATATTAATAAATAAATTTTATAATAGATTTATTTGTGAATTTTTTTATAATAAATTCTCTAGTAATATTTGCACAAATTAATACAAATTTAGTAATAACTTTAGGTAAATGAACTAAAACATTTTTTAAAAAATTATAAAGACAAAAAAAAATGTTGTCCTTTTAAAAATTTTAGACTAAATTTAAGGAACTAAACATATTTAAACCTTTACTAAATTCTCTTAAGTTGAACAATAGTTTATAAACTCTCTACCAAAAAATAAGCAGTGCATAGAGTGTGAATGATTAGTACTTTTTTTTCTTTCAATTCTTCCCCTAAGATAGTAATAGTTTTGGCAAACTTTATTTTGAGAAAGATGTTCATATAAAACTTGACTGAAAAATACATTTAATTATCTGTTTCTTTTTGCTTTACTTTCCTCTAATTTTATAAGTTCAATAAATAAGGATATGATTTCTCATTTCTTAGACTATACATCGATTACTTCGACAGGAGGGCAAATCAATAAGCTTTTGTCACATCATGACAACATTTGCTATATTTTAAGAATAGTCTCTTTACAAGTATGTTATGCAAGTGCTAATTTTTCCCAAGAGTTTTTTAATTCTTTATTACAAGCATAGATACCAACTCAACAATCTAGTAATTGTAAGAAGTTAAAAACTTATTTTCAACATTCATACATACACAGGTAAAAACTCCAAGTAGGTATCATTTCTAAAGTTAAAAGTAAAAATACATGCATGTTGAACTATTATTAACCTCCATATCTACCAACACCAATTTTCAACACGTTTCATAATTTTACATAAAAAAGAAATTCTCTATATTATCAAAACTAAACATATAGAATATCTCAGCACAAAGTTTCAAGTATATCAGTACCATTTCCCTCAAGAATTAACTACCCAAAAAGAAAAAAGAAAAAAAAAACCATAAATCCAAATTCCTGTAACATGAAATCTGAACAAAATTTGGAGTCAAGACTAAAATATATAGTAACTTATCCTCTCACAAAGAGCTAAGCATAACACATTGATGTGTGTTTGATCCTCTGCCCCAAGAGGACTGTATAGAACATAAAATTACTCTGCCAAACCTAGCCAAGCCAAGCCACCCACAGAAAATGCTTTATAGCTCCTTATAGATAGACCTAAGCTTTTCAAGAAAGAAGGATGAATCCAAGCACCATCAAGGCCAGGACTATCAAAGCACAAGATGCAATCCATATCCAGTTGTTAGACCTTCTCCTCTTGAGAATAGCTTTTGGAATTGACTCGGGGGTTTTCAATGCTTTCACTCTACTCCTGGACCTAGCACTGCTCTCCTTTTGCACCTTCTCCTTCGCCGGAACTGAGGCCTCCACAGTATCATTGGTCTTCTGCTCTGTAACCTCCTCAACTTCATTTGCTGGTTCCTCGGGATTTGGAACAGCTCCAGAGCCACCAGCCACCTTCTTTGCTTTCTTCTCTTGTTCCTAAAATAAAGCAAGAGTCAGTTTCTTATTTCAATATCTAATTTTGTGTGTATTTGCAGAACATATTCACAAAACACAATGAATGTAAGCTTTTTACAGTCATCCAATCACAGATTACCATGTATGATACATTTTGTTAACTTTTATGACAGTCTTATGATTACTTATTGGTTGACAATGTGAAAATGTTAACACAATGTCGCTAAACAGTACATGAAAATTAAATTCAAGCATATGCATCAACAAACAATCACCTTCTTAAGCTTCTTCTCAGCTTCCTTCTGTGCTCTTATAGCTGCTTTGGCTGCGGCTTTCTCTGCTTGTTTTTTCTTCCTTTCCAAGGCCTGCTTTGCTTTCGCGATTTCCTCTTCTCTTTTCATCTCTTTCAGCTTTTCTGGATCAACTGGAGGCTCCTTGGGAACCACCTCTTTTGGCCTTTCAAATTCATACTCATCTGCATCTTCTGAATCCTTACTGTCCAGACTTGATTTCAAATCTTTTCCTTTCTTTTTGGTTTCATTCTGAACCTTCTGAGCTGGCACAGTTTCTTGCGGAGATGATTTCGGCTCCTCCTTTGGTTGTTGTACACTGCTTTTCGGTAATTTATCTGTTTCGGCAGGTTTTGGTTCTTCCAAAAGTGGCTTTTCATCTGGGTTCCTCATCCGTCCATCCCTACTCAACTGCCGCATGTCCAGTGATGGCAAAAGTCTTTTCTCATAATCATCCCTAAAGGATTTGTCACTGTTCCAGAATGACATAGCTTTCTCAACCTGGAACCCACAAAAATGATAGCAACCACAACCACAAACAAGCTTAGCGAAGAAAGCCAGAAAAAGGTGATAAGATAGATGAAGTACACTGCAATACAAAGAATATGCAAACCTCAGTTTGTGAAAGTTCCTCAAGTGCATTAATATCTTTTTTAGCTGCAAGCTCCCGTGCCTTGTTCAAAATTGTCCGGCTTTGGTAGAAATTGGAGTTCTGAACAAATTAATATTAAGTAAAGTTCAGAAATATTCTGTATAGAAAATCAGAAAACTAGAAAAGACAACAAATTTTATAAACAAATGAATAGAACACTGTCCAATAGATCCCAGTCCCTTCTGAAACAGCCGAAAAGGGGAGGGGGAGCATTGATCAGGTCAACATAAATTGGGATCAGAAGAAAGAGTATAGCTTAGTACCACATATTAAGAATAAGAAATATAAAATTAAAATGTATTCATATGTGTGTCAAAAGAAACTAAAACACACCCCTTGATCACGTTGTTTTCTTAGCTGCTGAATGCTCTCATAAGCTTTTTCCCTCTTTTCAGTAATAGCTGCTAGTTCATCCTGTAAAGACATGATATCCTTGTCTAAGGCTTGTATTCCATCATCAAGTTGCTTGATTTTGGACCGAATTGCTTGCCTCTCTTTTTTAACTCCATCCAAGTCACCACCTATAAGCTGCAATGGAAAATAATCGTCAAAGAACTTTTTACATAACACAACTATAAATACAGAACACTTACCAAAACCAGAAGGTCCATAGCAGAAAATAGAAACAAAACTATCTTACCTTAACCTGATCTTGAATGGCCTCTTTCTGCCCCATCGAATCTTGTACTTTGGCTCTCATGGCAGCATTAGCAATAACCTTCTCCCTTGTCCCCTCAAGTTGCTTGATTTCTCTAAGGATTTGTTTTTCTTCGGCCAATGGAATGCTCTCATGCTGTATGCGGTATTGCAAGCTATTGATCTGCATTAAAAGCAAATATGGGAGTAGTGTTCAGATTAACTACATCATAGACAAAGGATCTATTTGAGTAAACTTCTCCATAAACATTTCTAAGAGAACAAAATAGGAATAAAAAATGAAACAAACTTCTCCATAAGTTAAAATTTGTGTATGCATATAAGTTATTTTGTAGAAGCTTTTTCCTATTAGTTTTTTTTTTTCTTCCAAACTCTTATTTTTTAACTGATACATAAAGTTATATTTAGTTTATAATAAGCTTATTTTGATTTTGCTTCCTATATTTCTCTCCTAAAAGTGCTTCTAGAGAAACTTATCCAAACAGGCTCAAAGTGATGAAGTCTGCACCAAAAAGAACTTGTACTCAGACATACAATACTGTTAAGTTCCTCCTCAGATGAGCACAGTCCAGCCCCTCGACCTGCACTATTGGTGGTACGAAGCTTGCCAAGTGCCTGCTGCAGAGGTTCAATCTCTTTTATTTTTTCATCAACAATACTCTGAAATTGCCTGTTGTTGTCTCTTAGAGACTTAATCTGAGAAATCAACTCTGCTCGTTCTGACTGCATAAAGATCAAATATATAATTACATTACATGTCGGTAAATATGGAGCCTAATGTGTAATCTCACGCCAATCCATAATATAAAGCTTTAATAGAAGGAAAGCTAATTGTTAAGTGACATACAATCTCCATCAACTTGTGCTCATACAACAAACAAATTTCCAGATGAAAATTTTGAAGAAGACTTTATTCTACTACAATGTTTGAATGATGAAAATTTTGAAGAAGACTTTATTCTACTACAATGTTTGAATGCTAACCATCTCTTTTCCCGAAACAATAAATAAATAACTAGTGCTAGCCATCTCTAATTCAATCAAAACAGAAAATGCATACCAGCTGATATGAAAAATCTATAATAGACTAACTTTCAGTAATCCTTGAAAAGGTCTTTCAATTTTTACTCAAAAAGGGTAAGTGGATAAAAATTACAGTAAAATAATTTAGGTGATTCCATTATAGCATTTTATGAGGGTACTGCATTGTAACAATTAGCTGTGGACATTTATTTAGTCCTACATTCCATTTAATTGAAATAGATATACAAAAAGAAATTTTAATTTGTAAATCAAATAAGTGGGACACAGAAACAAAAGTTACACACTAATTGTCGAGGCGTACAGGTTCCCTGACAACAAAATAGGGCACTGGATAAACCACTTGTTATTAAGGTTTTGGTCCTTATTTTTTTGTGTTCATCTTAGTCCTTTTTTACTCATTTACCAATTACATCTCTTATCCTTATATTGAGTCAATGGTGACACATGAACTGTTATTCATGTAGTAGTCTTACCATTAAACTCAATTGGAACATTAAGGGACTAAAGTGAGCAAATTAAAGCAATAACAACAACAACAAATACATCAATACAATGATTGAACTGAACTAGAATACTGAAGAATTAAATAGAGCAACTTAAAACAATAACGACAACAACAAACGCACCGACACAAGGAGTTAACTAAAATGGAATATTGAGGAACTAAAGTGAGCAAATTAAAACAATAACGACAACAACAAACACATCAACACAATGATTGAACTGAACTAGAATACTGAAGAATTAAATAGAGCAACTTAAAACAATAACGACAACAACAAACGCACCGACACAAGGAGTTAACTAAAATGGAATATTGAGGAACTAAAGTGAGCAAATTAAAACAATAACGACAACAACAAACACATCAACACAATGATTGAACTGAACTAGAATACTGAAGAATTAAATAGAGCAACTTAAAACAATAACGACAACAACAAACGCACCGACACAAGGAGTTAACTAAAATGGAATATTGAGGAACTAAAGTGAGCAAATTAAAACAATAACGACAACAACAAACACATCAACACAATGATTGAACTGAACTAGAATACTAAGGAATTAAATAGAGCTACTTAAAACAATAACAACAACAACGAACACATCAACACGAATTAACTAAAATGGAATGTTGAGGGACTAAAGTGAGCAAATTAAACAATAGTGACAACAACAAACACATCAACACAATGATTAAACTGAACTAGGATACTGAGGAATTAAATAGAAAAACTGAAAACAATAACAACAACAGCGAACACAACAATTTAACTAAAATGGAAAGTTGAGGAACTAAAGTGAGCAAATTGAAACAATAACAACAACAGCAAACACAATGACATAACAAAAACACAACAAAAATACAGAACTCCCGAAAACTAATTAGATAACAACCAAAATAAATATAAAAACCATATAATTTTGTATCCAAAGCCAATATGCCTTGGGGATGAAGCATGCCAAACCTAACACAAAGACATTGCTTGGAAAAGTAGAAAATGTTGACAAAGAGAAAAGGAGCATGTAATTCCCTCCTTTGATTCTCTTCCCATTTTCACCTCCACCAAGAACAGCACAAATGTTATAAATCAATCATGAGGAAAGTATTTTAGACTCACCCTTTTTGCCCTTAAAGCATCGGTAACCTGAATTCGTGCTTGATTTTTCTGGCTAATCTCCTTATCAAGCTTATCAAGTTTAGCTTTAATGTTAGGATCATCATAAGGCCGGAACCTAACAAAATAAAAAGAAAGTATCTGCTTCGGTGCAGGCCACTCTTCAGCTGCTTCTTTGGGAACATTGTTATCTAAAACAACATTCCCTTCAGCTTTAGCAGATTCATCTTCATGTGACTCGAATTTTATGGGCTCTGCAGCTCCTTCATCTTGCTCCAATTTCCCATTTTCACATTCTTGTGAAACAGATTTGTCTCCTTCAGCACCGGTTTCCGGTGGCCCTTCAACCATCTCAAATCCCACAACCTCAGCAGCCATAGCTCCAACTACAGGACAACCTCAGAAAACCAAGAAACCTTATTCCAACGCTCATAAATAAATAATAATAATAATAATAAATGCTTCACATGAATATACGGAATATTTATGAGCATGTTAATTCGACAGTTTTATACACAGGCCTTAATAGCAGATACACAAATGCCAGAATGAATAGCCTAGTGGTTGGTGGAAGAGGTTAGAGTAGAATCGTGAGACTTAGGTTCAAATCTCTTCGCTTTATAATCTTTTCAATGCATTAAAAAAAAAAAGGATCGTTGACCAATGACCATGATTATCAATTTTTATTTAAAAACCAATAACTCAATCAGGTCAAGGCTTATTAATTAACAAAAAAGCACCTCATTTAGTCAAATGCATACACGAATTTGAACAATTTGATCAGAGTCACACAACTTCAACCACGCATATAAAATGGACAAAGGGATCTATCATCCATCATGGACTACATCATCTTCACATCAAACATGCAAACCAAATGAAAAACGAAAAAAAAAACATATTTTTAGGCAGAGATCAGGCATTTTTTTCAATGAACAAACCATGCATGCAGACCCAATTGGAAGAAAAATGAGACAATTAGAAGAGGGGCAGAACAATGAAAAGGGCATGATCCAAATACCCGGAATGGCGACACCCACGATTGGTAGAGCCAAAAAGACAGGAAATTTGCAGACAGAAGAAGCTTTGGAAAATGAGAAACGCGGAAGCGAGCAATGAAAACAAAGGGAGAGGAATAGCAGTGTGGAGGAGTGAGATAAGCACAAGGAATAGGATTAAAACCGGGATGAGAGAGATTGCAAAAAAAAATAAGACCCTTTTGACAAAGGGCCTCCAAAATCCAAATCCAAAATTAGGAAAAGTACCTCAGAAAGAAAGAGAGAGAATTGAGAGCAAAATGGGTCAGATCTTTCCCTGTCTCACAATGGGAAGGATTAATATAAACCAGAGCTAGAGAGAGAGAAAGTGAAGTGAGAGAGATATGAAACACGTGCCTTTATCGTGTAAAGCAAATATATATATATATATGTATTTTATTTATTTATTTTATTTTTATTTTTTTCTTTTTAGAAGTCAAGAATCACATAAGTTTGAACCTAGTGACAATCCATATCATTAACCTATTCCGAGGGATTTTCCCCCCTTTTTCCTTTTCTATGTATCTCTCAAAGATAAAATGGGGGAAAAAGTCTTACATATGATTTTAGTTCATTTATTTATGATAATTTTGTAATTTTAGTTCTTTCTATTTTAACCAAACAATTTTAATTTTTAAGTATTATAATTATGCAATTGAGTTAAAATTTGGAAGATCAAAATCATATAGTTATTATATTTAAGAGATTAAAATTACTAAATTAAAATTTTGAAGATAAAAATTAAACTATTATAATATTTGATGGATAAAAAACAAACTAATTAAGAAATTATGTACACAAAAAGTTAACTATTCACTCCATCAGTAATAACTACCTTATTATTTTTTCTTTTAAAATAGACACATAGTATATTTTTTTCATGCAAATAATGGCTTAGTAATTATAAATATAAAATATTATATTTAAAATTGAAAAACAAATACGCATATCATTGCATATTCCTATAATAAATTTGTTGGATTTAATAATAATTATTTTAAAAATTATACTTAAGTTTTAATCCAATAAAGTGAATTAAAGATAATGCATTAAAATAAGTTTTAATTTATATATTGAGAGGAATAAATTATATTTTTTTTTAATAAAAGCACTTGTAAATATTATTCGATAATAAGTTTTAATCATTGCATATTACTATAATAAGTTTGTTGAATTTAATATTGATTATTTTAAAAATTATACTTAATTTTTAATCCAATAAAGTGAATTTAAGATAATGCATTAAAATAAGTTTTAATTTATATATTGAGAAGAATAACTGGTGTTTTAACATGTACATTAATATGTTAAATACTAAATTGTAACTATTTTGTCCTTTAATATCAATTATTTTATTATTTTTACACAAATATACGGAGGATTTTACACTAGTACCTGTAGTAGGAATTAAATATCCTCAACATAAAGGATGTATTGAATTAAAATTTCAAAGAATTTTAAAAAGATTTTTTATTAAAAAAATTATGATATTTATTCAAGACCTTTTTTTAATATAAAATTGTCATGTAGTATTTAATTTTTTTTAAGAGTATATTAGAATTTGGTGATATTCAATTAAGATAATCAAATTTTTTAATAGAACTTCAAAACTTAGTGATGTTAAATAAAGATTTTTTTCACTTAAATAAAATCTACTGATATTTAAAAACATAAAGATTTCAATGGATTATTTTGAAAAATAAATTTTGTGAGACCTTTTAGTAGAATTATGTATAATTCACTCATTAAACAATCTCACTAATTAGATAGATATATTAGATTGAGATTTCATAAAACTATTTTAACACGAAAAAGTTTTATGAATTTTAAAAGACTTTCATGGAATGTTATGACTTTTAAAAGTTTTTTAAAAAAATATTGTAAAAATATAATGATTTTTAAGATTTTTTTCTAAAAAAAAGACTTTTCACTTTTACAATCAAGATTTTGTAATACGAATTTTAGTGATTTTATATCATAAAAATTTATAAGATTTGATAGGATTTTATAATATTTCAAAGGACAATATAGATTTAAAAAACAATACAATTAATAAAAATAACATAAATAATAAGGTTTGAATAAAAATAAATAAAATTGTAATTTTTTCAATATTTTAATAAACACTTGATTCTAACTTCAGATTCTTTTAAGTAACATCTATTTATTGTACTATTGATGGGAGAACAAATGAAAAATATTAACATGTGTCACTTGGAGGAAAAATTGACAAAAAAATAAATTAAAAATAAAATTAACTTAATGAGGAAATAAATCTGAACATCCTTCTTAACATGCATCACATTGTTATATTACAAAAACACTCATCACATAAACAAAAAATGTAAAATTACAAAAGTGCAAGTCATGTTTTCCATTTTGGTGAATTTATTTTGTCATTTCTCTCGAAAACATTTTATAATGTGTTGAAGATAATAAAAACATGTATCTCACAAGGTGAGACTTTTTTTTTTTATATTCATTCAAGGCCAAAAATCAAACATCCTACTATTTAATGATCAATAAAGAAAAATTATTTTGATTATACTGTATCTTTATTGAAATGGGTTTAATGAAGGAAATTTATTTCAAAAGAGGGAAAAAGTGTCATGAAAATGGAAAATTTGCATCAAAATGCATACAATTTGGGTTACATGTAGTGGTAAGACAGATGCTCATATCCATAATCTCAGTAAGAATTCAAATTTGAAATCGTGTCTCAGTATGAATTCAAATTTGAATTTGAATTAAATGAACTTAAAAGTCCTCTATATATGGTCTTTTGTTCAAGTTCTTGTCTTTCAGATTTTTCTTTTAAGGAAGGTATTGATATTATTGAATAATTAAAAAAAAAAATCTTTTTTATTTACATGTACCGATAACTTCATTCAATGAGCTTATTGTGTTTGTACAAGGTGTGAGTAGGTGTGAAACATGTGACCAGGTGAGATTGTGTAAAGCCAATGATAATTATACAAGTGGCATGGTGCGGAAGGTGTGACGAGATTGTGGAAGTAAGAAAGGAAATGTAGAAGCAAACATGTAGAAGGTGTGACTAAGTATGAAACATGAGATTAGGTGGGATTGTGTAAAGTCATGAGAAGGTGCGGGAAGTCCAAAGTGGACATCCCGATCAATAAAAAATGTTGTCCTCCCTCTCTTAGCCTAAACAAGCCTAATTAGTACATTTTTCAATTACTAGTTGGACTCCCAAAAATCCTAGGTACACCCCTAAAAGAAAAATACAAGAAAATATTTTTCTACTCTAATTGATCAAAATACAAGGTCAAAATAAAAAATATTTACAATCAAGAAGAAATGAACATTCTTTAAAAACCTAAAGCTCTACAGGAACTTAGGTCTTCCTCCTTATGTCTAGCTCACTTCTCTTGACTCCTTTTGGACTTGACCCTTAGGCATGCTTTATTTGTTCCAAGAGTTTTCTCTTTTTTTCCTCTCTTACTTTTTTAATTTCAAGCTCAAGGATTACTTCTATAGTTCTATATTTTTTTTTCTTTCTTTTGTTTCTCTTTTTCTTTTTTTCCTTATTTTTTTTCTTCCATATTATAGTGCTTCTAATTCAACCAATAACTTTGCTATGTGATGATTTGGCAGTGAACTAGAATCACTACCACCATTAGAGCTTTTGTGTGTGCTTACTCATGATGCAAAAAATTGAGAAAAAAGGTTTTCTCTCTTAACTAAAAATGTAAACCTAAGTGTTTGAAGAAATTTTTGGAACCTTTTAAACACAATTTCACAAGTTATAAAAACGTACAAGATTACTTAATAAGGGAATCAAGTAAAGTTGAAAGTTTTGGGTAAACATTAGTGATAGGATTTTTATAACACAGGATCATCTTGAAAAAAGGTAAAGGAAATAAAGGGAACTTGGCCCTAACCGCGACCAGTTGGTAGGACCAAAGTTATCAAAAAAAGAAGTGTGACCCTAACTACGACCTATTAGTAGAACCAACACTATCAAGTTCTTATCCAAAAACAAAAGAAAAAACTTTCACAATGAGAAACTCAAAATATGATTAATATTAAAATCTATTTTTGATGCTTACAAGATATTCCTATTTATAGGCTAAGATAAGTAAACTAACATTTACAAGTAGTAACTTTCCACTAAGCTCCACAGGAAATAAAATCTCATTAATTCCTTCTAACATTTATTTTCCACAAAGAAGCCTAAAAGCACTCAAAACTAACCTAGGCAATATGAAAAACCACATGAACTTATTTCATTAAAATAAAATACAAAAATTACAATAAAAAAGACTTAAGTAACTTTTAAGTCCAAAAGTTAAGTAAACCATCCAAATAAAGTCTAATTCACTATAGTATCTTTTAGTAATTAGTGTTAGGCTGATTAGACTCTTTAATTTATTATTTTTAACTCCTATTGATCCTCTCCTAGTCATTGAGCCTTCCATCAGTTGAAAATCATATTTTAAAATATTGGACCTTGATAGGTTCCTATCATTGGAGCCTCTTATAACAGCCCAAAATCGCTGGGCCAGAGGCCCAATTGATTGCCCGGAACGGGCCGTTTCAAAAGTGAAACGGGCCGTTCCGGAAGGAGAAAAATGCCCAAACTTAGAGAAGAAGAACGGGATGTCCTGGTGGGAGAACGGGCCGTTCTGCTGGGATTGAGAACGGGCCATTCTGGTTTTGGAACGAGCCGTTCCAGTTGAGAATTTTGCATAGTTACGAGGGGTCCATAACGGCCGTTCCACTTTTGGAACGGGCCGTTCCGGTAGGTGAGCCTGAAATCCTATAAATAGCGCCCCTCACTTGTCATTTTCACACATCTCTCATTCTCTCTTCCTATTATCTTCTGTTCTCTCTTCTTTTCCTCTTCTTCTCTCTGAAGACCAAGGGGCACTTAGAAGAGGAGACCAAGAGATTCCTGTTTTAGTTCAACTGTTGTTTATCCAGGTACGGGGGAAAAGAGGATTATTTGTATGCAAAGTTACATGAGGGAATTGGGTAGAAGAGGATTATGAATAATTTTATAATTATTTATGTTTGGAGAATTATTAGTCTTATGTGATTCTGTATGTATTTAGGACTATGAATATATGATTAATTTGTAAAAATGATGCTCTGGGAGAGAGAACGAAATTATAGAAAAGTGCCTGTAGGTTAGGTTTTGGAAAAATTGGATTATTTCTGTTTGAGGAATTGATGATCCCATTAGATTCTGTATGTGTTGAGGATTAGAAATATATATTTAATTTGTAAGAATGATGATCTGAGAGGGAGAACGAAACTGTAGAAAAGTGCCTG